TCAGGCCAGCCTGGACATCTAACTAGTCTTGCAAGGTTCTGTACGAATTTTTCATCTTGATATGACCAAAATTGATAAATAACAGGACTTACAATGGAAGCTAGACACATCAATCTAAGGAAATATGCAGGTTAAAGGTTAAAACTAAAACAATAGGCATGCATGTGCTCACGCCACCGCACCGTACAGATATCCGGACTCCGTTTGTAAAGCAGAGCTCTACTTCACAACAGAACTTTGGTCTTTCTTATATTAATGAAGTCCCGCGCAGATACACGTACCGCTGCACGTGTTTCAGTTTACATTGACACGTGCCAGGTAAGAGAATCAACAGGCATTTTCTTCAAAATAAAAACTGCTACTTTAAAAGAAAATAAAATCAAACATTCCGATTAAATTTATATATGTTTATAAATGTTTTATAATGAAATGCTAGATAGACGAATGCCTAATTAAATGCAAAATTGCATCTGTTGTAATTAAATTATTTAGTTATTTAAACATTTTGTCACTTCACAGCTGTTTTCCCACGACTATTTGATTTAACTGGAGCGTTCATCTCAGGTAGTAACAAAAATAGCGCACGACCTTCCCCGTATATAAATGGGCTGTATGACACCGAAATTGAAAAGAATACTTTTGAGGCTTAAATCATGAATTTGTAAATTTCGCAATGCAGAAGATAATTATGTAGAGAAGATATCAGGGTAAAAACCTACGCATTTTAAAAGTATTGTCAACTTGTATTGATCAAATACAGTATAAATATTGAACTTCCAAAAAGAAAAATCTTACATAACAAACACAAGTGTCATTTTATTTGGAAATGGTTCGGTAAATAATAAAATAATAAGTGTCATAAAGTGTTTATTTTTTAAGCCTTGATATTATATAATATACCATTCAAATTCAAAACTATACATCTTTCTTATGTTAATAAATGTTTACATGTTTCTGACATATAATTATACAAAAGCCCAGATGAACAGAGTGTAAACTCCCGTTTCTTTATGCGTTATGTTAATATTTAATGTTATTCATAGTTATTCATAGTTTTATATTAGCATATGCTGTGTTAAACCTGCTTTTTATATTATCATAAACTTAAAGACTTCCAGGTTTTTAAACGTACTTAACGGGGAGGGGAAGGGTCGGGTTGGGGGTCTGGGGGCATTGAGAAGGCATAACAATACCGCACTTAGGGTGCTAAAACGATGCTTTAGCATTAAAATGAGCAATGATGATGTGTAAATTCTTCTTTTATATATAGTATAGATAAAGCATTGGGACATTAAATGTTATCTGTTTAAATTTTCTTAACAAACAACTCAACATAAACTCGGCTTTTCAGGGTAAAACGTAATCTATTATAAAATATTTAGATCTCTAAAGCTGAGCTATCAAATCTAAGTTTTGAGGAAAACTTTTGCAGATAATTGGACCCACTAATTGCTTTAGTATTACCGTGATTGTAATAAAACCGAGAGAAAATTTTATAAATAGCTTAATTAATTCAATTAAAGAAATTCCAAAGTCTCTGAGAGGTTTAAATAATTAACTTAGACATAAAACGGTGCGATGGTTATTATCTCCCCTTACAATTGATCTATCGCTCCGAGGACATGCTTCCGAAATCTCTTTAAAAACAAGAAACCGTTGATAAAGATGACAAGCCATGACTTGACGTCAGCATGTTCCACACTCAAGTCAGGTCTTAAGTCCTGATTAACTAATCTGTTGTCCCATAAAAAACTAACTTATATAGAGTGGCCCTCTGTAAAACAATAACCTCTATTCAACAATATTAATAATTCTTTTCAAAGTAAGACTACAAAAACATCTATGGGTGTTTCTGAATTCACAGTTTCACCGTTTTCTTGTTTATTGTTATGTTAAATAAGCCGGTGCTAAGGAGCGTCGACGAAAGCTCTTACTACTACCTTCCACTAACAGGCTTAATCAGACTGAGTCTGCAACAACTTCAATTTTGCCGTATTGGGCGTTCTTTAGGTTTTCCATTTTGTCTTATTTGTATTCACAATACATTTAACCTTTGTACAGCAACACTTCTTAGCTACAAACCATAATCTTTGTCTTCGAAAGGGTCTCGCTCAGCAGAGGTTGTTATGCAGTAGAGTGAATATTCTATTGCATCCGAATAAATAAAGCAAGGAAATTCCATAAATTATATATGCCCAGTGGTTATATATCCAAGATTATGCGTTTCGTCAATAAATTAGGTTTAAACGTTTCTTTTATTTTCACATTATAATTGCCTTTTGAGTAAGATCTATATGTCTCTCACATCTTCAACCGATACAACACTAAATATCGTAAATGGTCCTGCCCAGTCTTTCAATCTGGACACGAGCATTTATCATTTATAGGGGAGAAATCGGAAAATAATCTGATTGGTCTGCACTGGTTGCATGGGGTAAGTCTGTTGTTTCCGCCAGTAGACATGCTTCCTTATTTTATAGTATGAAAGGTATTTTCTCAAAGTTTAGCGAAATTGTAATTATTCCACAATTATATTACACAAATGGCTTAACATAATAACTTTTTTCCGCAAAAAAATCTGAATAATTAATGTGTTTAATTCAATAACGCAAGTAACGCTTTCTTTTTTCTTCACAGGTTCCGGCAGCAAAAGAGATTTCCAAACAGCTACAGTGACATAATACACGCTTTTGTTTTCCCTAGTGTTCGTCACTTCATGAAGTAAATGGATAAATATACATTAAGACACCTTGTAAGAAAGTTTATATGGCTTAATTGACTAAATTCGAGGCCAAGTGCCAACGAGAACAAAAAATATCGTCATACATTTCAGATCACTGTTTTAACAACCTCTTTTCATGAATAAGTTGTGGAAAGTTCTAAGATTCAGTAGCTTTAAAATCGTACCAGACAAAGAAGGCGGATAAGAAGAAGAAGAAGAAGAAGAAGAAATGTATTTCCACAGCTAAAAACATTAAAATATACAGATTTTTCTCAAATCAAAGATCGTGTATTTCTTATCAAATTAAAACATCGTATAAGTAAGCCAACTAACAATATTACCGGTCGAGTTTTAACCATTTAAATCAAATATAGAAAATAAGATCATCATTATTTTTTTTTACTTTTTATATATTTTGAAACATCATTCAGCCCTAGAAATGTTTATATCTTTGTTTCTTAAAAGCTTTTAGATAGTTCGGTGTCATGTTATAGCTTTTAAAAATTATAGACTCACCGGCCACATACCCATATACACGAACCATACTTTGCTTTTTGGCAATGAGTAAAGTTATTATGATTAAATATTTTTATGGCAGTTCGAATACCACTTTGTTTACCTTTTGCTACTGTTGACAAGTCAATGATAAACATCTTACTTTCTCTTAATTCATTATTGAATCATTATCTATAAAAACATATGTTGCGGAAAAATGTATTCGGTTCTTTTGGGCTTAAAGTGCCTTTAAGTTTTCAACCGGGATCATGAATACATAAATATATAAATCATCTAATAGATGACAAATTTAAACACAAGTGCATCGCTTTTAAATCTTACATTTACATAAACGTATGTTACGCTTAGAGAGGTGAGATTCTGATCGTCTTAAACAATTCTGTATTTCAAGGAACGAAGCTAATCGTTTTACTTGAAATTATGAGAACAGTTTCACCCCCATTATTTCTTTTCTTAACGTAATTTCAGGCAATTTTGTGTAATCGTGTCATTCCGTTTTTTCTCTAGATGTAAAATACGAATTAGTTTACTAACGATTTTTGTCTTTTCAATTTTCCCTTTTGACAAGAAAATTTTAGTGTAAAAGACGGATGTCACGATAATATGCGGTCCCGATCTCATATTGTCGAAATCCTCGGAGAATGAAGAAAACGAACATTTATTACACTTGGGAAATGATTTTCGCGAGACAATTTCAACAGGAAAATACGTAATAAAATTTCATCTGTAATTTCAGAGGAAGATTACAACATTTATGATGTGTTTTCGACAAATATGATTAACGATTCTGCTGACTCTTCTGAAATAAAGTCGAACACGTGAACAACGTGAAAATGACAGAATTTAGTTTATTCTTGCTATACGGGAACGTTGATCCCCCTGGTCCTATGTACACTTTTCAAAATCTTTACGTTTATAATAGAAAATTTAATTGATGATTTTATTATACACTATCAAAATAATGATCTTGAATAATGTATTTAATTAACTCGTACGTAACGTTTTATTTTACGTAAAATGAATTGCCTTAATTTTTTTTATATATTTTTTTTTAACTTTGACAGGTTATATATTAACACAATAAACAATTTGATATTCAAAGTAAATTCTTGTCAATGATTTCCTTAACAATAAACATACATAATATATGTTACGGTAAATTGCTTAATTGTCAAACAATATGATAAAACTGACGATAATGAATGATAATGAAAATGATGACGATGATGAAATAAGTGATAAAGGTTATGATGATGATTGTAGTGGTAATGCCGATTACAAAGTAAGTAATGAAGAATACACGATGCTGATGATGATAATGATGATGATTGTGATGATGATGATGATAATGATGATGATGGTGTTTTGTTTTGAATTTTAAGATTGATGATACCGATGGTGATGATGCAATGATGATGACGATGACGACTGATGATCGTCGTAATGGTGATGATGATATCGATAATGATGATGTTTAAGCTGCTGCTAATGTTGATGATGATGGTGATGATGATGACGAATGATGATGATGTTAGAACTATTCAAATGTAGATAATATAGTACCACTACAATTGTCGTGAAATTATTTCCCAGTATCTCATTCTGTTCTACCAATATACAGATATCGTCACAGTATTTCTACATATAATAATTATCATACATTAGGAAATAAATACCATACAGTATGTTGAAATCAAAAAGCGTAAGAACCAAAAAGTTACAAACACAAACAGTCAAAAAGTTGAAAATATGAAAACGCTACCTGTTTTTCAGCCGGTAAATTCCATCTTTATTTGTCAATCACGGATGTTTTTACGAAATGATGCGACTTATACACATGCCAGCTACACTTTAATCTATACCGTACAATCTAGTTTCATATTTACAATTGGTCATGCATCGTAGATCTCTTTTACTTGAGAAAATAACGAAGTGTTTAAACTTTGTAATGACATATAAAATGGTAAAGTGGCGCTCTGATTTATGTTTATGTATATTCATTTATTTTTTACCAGTCATATGTTTACATGTGAATCACAAAACGATTTTTTAATAAGTAAGCTTGCTCAAAAGTGACGTCCTCGGACAATTTGCTACTAAGGCAATCCCGAGTTACTTCCCTTGTATTCAGTAGAAACAGAAAAATCGATGTACAGAATTGACAATGTAAATATTACACATAATAAATCAAATATTTGTTAATCATCTCATTATATTTAACTTGTTTATTCATCTTTGATTTACAAACAGGGCGTGCAACTATGTATTGTTAACATATTGGTCGAATAATAAAAAAAAGGAAACCGTTGTAAACTTTGTATTGCAACATGAAGTAACTAAGGCCGTGTCTACACCTATTCAAGTTTCTTGCATGTCACATTTAGATAAGCTAAATAAGTGGCCCTTTAAACATTTTTTCAGGCTCAATTTTTTACTGAAATGTCTCATTAAGATAGCCCAGGATTTATACCTTTGTCTTTGCAAGACTATCATGTTTCTGTAAAATATGTGAAAAATAAGCGGGAAAATGATGCAATTAGCTAAAACAGAATGGAGTAAAATTGAAAAAATGTGACAAAAATTTATTTTGATGCAAATTCTTTATTCGATGAAAGTTATTCACTAAATGAACAAGATCATTTTAGATCCATTTTGACTCTACTTGAAAAAGAGCTCTTTTTCATCTTTTACGATGTATTTATTTTTATTTATTTTATTTTTTTGCTCTTCTGTGTATCGGCGTATTGATTTGTTCCTTTGACCAAGACATTGTAATCATTTACTGAAATTCAAAGGACATGTACACTGAATCAACAACAAAAAGTCAGAAAATAATAAAAATAACAGCACTATCAAACCTTCGGGCACATGTTTTGTGTCAAACCGGTGTTATCAGTGTCTTGACAGCCAAAAACTTGTAGAAAAATAGAACGTGTTCTAACTTTCTTGCAAGAAATTATCTTCATGGATGTCTCATAATTTCTCGTTAAAAGCCATTCAAGTAGGGTGTCTACACTATCCAATTCAAGAGAATATGATACTTGCATTCAAGACTTGGATAGGTGTAGACGGGCACTAAGCTAATATTTTTTCCCGCTAATGTAAACTCTTCGATTTTGTTATGAATATTTGGCTAAGTTATCCGTCAAAAAATTAACTTTCGGAAGCAATAGAAAATGTACATAAAAAGTAGTAAAATAATATGTACTAACACTATTCAAGCATTAAAAATTACGATGCATTAGAATTATCATATTAGTTCAGCCACGGAATATATTACATATAAATCCGTGGTTCAGCAAGTGGTGCACGGCATACTTTTTAAACACTAAATGATTTCGAGATGAAAGGTGTCACAAAAAGACGGATGTCAAAATAATATGCGGTTCCAATCTCATATAGCCGGAATCCTTGGAGAATAAAGAATGTAAAGGATTTCACGTGGGAAATGTTTTTCCTTGAAATAAAATAACATATTTTAAGATGGGCTATAGTTTTTCTTATTAGATTATTTTAGGTACAGAATTAGCTATATTTTTTTTTTTATAATTTGAAAACAATTATATCCAGTATGTTTATTATGTACGTTACTTACCGAAATTCGAGACTTTCCCTATCTTGGTTACAATGTCTGATCTATTTTTTAGTTTACAGTCTTTTCAAACATATATTAATATTTATTATCCATTGTTTATATGTTTTTCACTTGTTAAACATGAGTTTATCCATAGTGTTTCTTCCTTACTTGCCACATTATCGCTATTTTAAAAGTTTCGCGACTTTTTTTCAGATGTTAATCTTATAAACAAATTGTTTAACTATGTTTTTAGGCAAACTAAAATTTGCAAAATCATTTATCGCATATGTATAAAATATAAACTAGAAAATACTCAAATTATCACAAATAAAAACCACTGGTCCATTTCTTAAAGTAAAGCAGACGACAATTTCTATGCACTTTTCGAACAGACTGTAGTCTATTGCATCAAGTTTGTAAGCCGATATCTGATTGGTCTGTTGATCTGTATCTGGATGGTTACATGATCAGTGTCGAGTAGAAGCTCTTTTCGCTTGAGCGCACAGTTACAGACTATCTTCTTTTTGAGTATTTGGTAAGATATTTATATCTAAATTGTGAAGGATTGATCGGGAAACGATTTAACAATCCTTATTTTTATCTTATTTAAAAGGAAAATTGCCATTGAACTTTAATTATTGTCACCATGGTACGGCCCTTTTTACTAGATACAATTTCAAAACTTTTAACAACGCGTCCGATAGCCATATTTTTCACGTGGGCATTCTATACCAAATTCTCTTTCTTACATTTTATAAAATTTTAAAATGCCTCTTTATTTTATTGCAAATAAATTACGATTGAAATTCGTAATATGTCGAGCGAGTAAATGGAAATTAATTTAAAAGTAAGGAAAGTTGAACATATGTTTAAAAGCCTGTCTTCTACGTAAAAATGGGACGCCAAAATACTCACAAAAATAACTTGAAACCACCTTAAATCCACTGTATTACCTTTTGATGACCTAACAAAAAAAGTATGAAACAGACAAAATGTTTTATTTTCATCTTTTAACCTTTGCGGCAATAAATTTTAAAATGGACACGGTTTTTCTTTGAGTTGATATTTCAAACAGTCAATACGAAAACAACAATTTATCGTTTATTTTAAGCATTATAGAAAGAGACTATTCTATAATCAAAAGATAAATAAAATATTTTCAAAAGAAATATCTCGTTTAAAATTACAGTCCGACGCAAACAGGGAAGAGAAAGGGAAACTACCGTGACAAAAATCTACATTAGTACATATACGAGTTATCTGTCAAAACTTTGATATACAAATCTCAGGTCAATTTCAAGAAAAATTAACTTAATTTACTGGGTCTAAATCTTATACGTTAATGTCTCAACAGTTTAACGTGACTGTCTACTTCTTGTCAAACATTAATAAGCCCTTATCCGAATCTTAAAGGAAAGGACCGAAAAGTTGCGAGTTTACATTTCACAGTACACTTGCCTCTTAATATATATTCGAATAAATCTTCCCAAACTTCTTCCAAGCATTTATCTTGTTTTTAGGTATATTTTTAAATCTCAATCGTCAATTTCACTATGAATTAATTCGCAGCTTGATTCATTTTTTTCATTTCACAAACTATTAAGATACTATGTACTTTAGTACACATAGATAGGAGATCACCTTTTACAAGCTTTAAAGCTTTCGGCAATGACATGACGGGCCTGGAAATAATTTTCTGATATTAACGTTCCATTTCACGAAGACTTATAACTTGTGTGCAAAATTTCATTTCTATCGCTCACACTATTTTTTCCAGAATAAATAATCTAATTAAAAAAAATCACCCAAAATTGAAAAACGTTGCAACGCAATTTACACAAACAAAATTATGGTTTTTAAGTGCCCCAGAAGATTTTTGTAAGAACTACAACTTTCATGTGTTTGAGGCGTTCGAACCTCAGTGGAGCTCCTTTAAAGGAACTCAGTGGGAACCTCAGTGGAGCTCCTTTAAAGGAACTCAGTGGGAACCTCAGTGGCGCTCCTTTAAAAGAACTCAGTGGGAACCTCAGTGGAGCTCCTTTAAAGGAACTCAGTGGAACCTCAGTGGAGCTCCTTTAAAGGAACTCAGTGGAACCTCAGTGGTGCTCCTTTAAAGGAACTCAGTGGGAACCTCAGTGGAGCTCCTTTAAGGGACCTCAGTGGAACCTCAGTGGAGCTCCTTTAAAGGAACTCAGTGGGAACCTCAGTGGAGCTCCTTTAAAGGAACTCAGTGGAACCTCAGTGGAGCTCCTTTAAAGGAACTCAGTGGAACCTCAGTGAAGATCCTTTAAAGGAACTCAGTGGAACCTCAGTGGAGCTTCTTTAAAGGAACTCAGTGGGAACCTCAGTGGAGCTCCTTTAAAGGAACTCAGTGGAACCTCAGTGGAGCTCCTTTAAAGGAACTCAGTGGGAACCTTAGTGGAGCTCCTTTAAAGGAACTCAGTGGAACCTCAGTGGAGCTCCTTTAAAGGAACTCAGTGGAACCTCAGTGGAGCTCCTTTAAAGGAACTCAGTGGGAACCTTAGTGGAGCTCCTTTAAAGGAACTCAGTGGGAACCTCAGTGGAGCTCCTTTAAAGGAACTCAGTGGAACCTCAGTGGAGCTCCTTTAAAGGAACTCAGTGGGAACCTCAGTGGAGCTCCTTTAAAGGAACTCAGTGGAACCTCAGTGGAGCTCCTTTAAAGGAACTCAGTGGAACCTCAGTGGTGCTCCTTTAAAGGAACTCAGTGGGAACCTCAGTGGAGCTCCTTTAAAGGAACTCAGTGGAACTCAGTGGAGCTCCTTTAAAGGAACTCAGTGGAACCTCAGTGAAGATCCTTTAAAGGAACTCAGTGGAACCTCAGTGGAGCTTCTTTAAAGGAACTCAGTGGGAACCTCAGTGGAGCTCCTTTAAAGGAACTCAGTGGAACCTCAGTGGAGCTCCTTTAAAGGAACTCAGTGGGAACCTTAGTGGAGCTCCTTTAAAGGAACTCAGTGGAACCTCAGTGGAGCTCCTTTAAAGGAACTCAGTGGAACCTCAGTGGAGCTCCTTTAAAGGAACTCAGTGGGAACCTTAGTGGAGCTCCTTTAAAGGAACTCAGTGGGAACCTCAGTGGAGCTCCTTTAAAGGAACTCAGTGGAACCTCAGTGGAGCTCCTTTAAAGGAACTCAGTGGAACCTCAGTGGAGCTCCTTTAAAGGAACTCAGTGGAACCTCAGTGGAGCTCCTTTAAAGGAACTCAGTGGAACCTCAGTGGTGCTCCTTTAAAGGAACTCAGTGGGAACCTCAGTGGAGCTCCTTTAAGGGACCTCAGTGGAACCTCAGTGGAGCTCCTTTAAAGGAACTCAGTGGAACTCAGTGGAGCTCCTTTAAAGGAAACTCAGTGGAACCTCAGTGAAGATCCTTTAAAGGA